CTGGCTGTCACAGTGTCTGTGATGAACCAGCTGCTGGTCTTACTACTGCTCTGAGACCCAGGCTAGAGGGGCTTGTCACGGATCCCACACTTTAGGGGAGCCACTACCACCCTCTTCCAGCTTCATCTCTCTGCAAACAGCCAAGGGTGCAGTGTGTGAGATCAAGGAGATGTGCACACAGCCTGCTCCCAACCTTGTTCCATGTATCAGGGGTCCTGAATTTGCTGCACAGTGGCCCTAAACCCCAAGTTCCAAGAAGCCTGCATGCTCCTCTTCCCTGGATCTGTGCTTCTGAGGGTTAAGTGGCACTGCACTGTTATACTTACTTCCAGGACTGGGAGGAAACCAACTGTTGGTGACTATATTCAGGGAACAGGGGACAAGTGGACTTCAACATCCACGTATGTGCACGTGAGATCTCTTGAGGTGAGGAATGGAGCTCAGAGTGAGTAGAGAAGAGGAAGAGGCTGGACCTGGGGCCTGTGATGTGGACCAGCGGCCTGGGGTGGGGGTCCCCCTTTCCCCACATCGCTGGAACAGAACTCTGAGGAGCCCAGGTATTGTACGCACACAACAGGTGTTGTACACAGACCCTAAGTGACCCTCAAACTTTTTCTTATTCCTGCTCTTGAATTTTCCATCCCCTTAAGTTGGCCTGGACCTGTGATTTTCTTCTAACCATCAGAATGTGAAAATGTCAATGGAATGTCACACTCTTGATTACATTAGGTATGTTCCTGTAGTTTGATCCGTCTATCATTTATGTGGTGATTTGGTTTTGTTTAGCAATGGAGAACTAATACGCCTGGCCCAGGAGAGGACAGACCTGGAGACTCCCGGTCTCCTAACGTGCCCTCTTCAATATCACGCAACTATTGCTAACACAAACTTGTTACCGATAGCTTTGTGATTTTAAATTAGCGTAACGAGCTAAACAAGGAAAAAACCCTGAAATATGCAAAGTATTCTAAATCTGAAGTTGGTTTCCTGGCAATCAAGATGGTGTATTTATTTGGTAGATGAGATACCTTGTTTAATAGTTTATTAGTTGATTTGAAACTTTCAAGTAATTTTACACGTGGCATGCAGGCCCTTAATTGAACGTTGCCCTGAAAACTTTACAGCTTACATATGCTACAGTTTGTCCAGTTTGTGAAGACAGAGGCAGAGACTGGAGTTCTCCTGCCACAAGCCAAGGAATGCCAGGAGGCAGCAGAAACTGGAGAAGATGAGGAGGATTTTCCCCTGGAGCACCTTGCTTTCAGACTGCTGGCTGCTGCAACTGTGGGAGATTAAACTTTTATGTTGTTTCAAGCCACCCGCCTACCTTGTGGTAACTGGTTATGGCAGCCCTGTGAGCAACCCTTCCCAGTTGAATTCTCTCCCCCTCTCCACAAGACGTCACCACTACCCTTAGCAAGGGGTCTGTCGTTCTCATGCGTGCCCCTCTACACACTCCGTGCGTGCATCCCCCCCCCCACGCATGCCTTTTACTACATATACGCGTCCATAATCAATATGTGATTGTTTTACATGCTCTTAAACTTCGTATTCGTGGTATCGTAACGGTTCTATCCTTCTGAAACTAGTCTGTTCCCTCACCCACTTTTGCCACTGCCACCATCCAATCCTTGCCCCTCTTGGAGGTCTTTCTGTGTCTCAGACCCTTGAGAGAATTCTAGTCTCATCCCCACTCCAGCCTTTGCTGTCCCGTCCAGTTGACCGAAAATAGTGTCAAGTGGCTGGGTCAGTGCTGGCCTTACCACAGGAGAAGCTCAGTCCCTCACAGTCCTCCCCGGCCCCCCACACCCATCACTGCTCTAAACCAGTGATGCTCAAACTCTAGTGTGCTTCTCAGAGTCACCTGAAGGACACGTAAAACTCTGATTGCCGGCCCACCTTCAGAATGTCTGATTCAGTAACTCTGGAGTGGGGCCTGAGCATCTGCATTCCTCACAAGCTCCCAGGTGACGCTGATGCCGCTGGTCCACAGCAGCCCAGTGGCACCATCTGGTCTCCGGATGAGCTTGGTCATCCGTCGGTTTCTTTCAATAGAAGGAAGTAGGGGCTAGACCTCCACCTCTCCCTTTACGTTAACTGTTTATACACTGGCATTTTAATTAACTTGTGGCGGCAATAAAAGAACTTAAGACACGGTTTCAATGACAGTAAGGTGGCACAAAGCAAAAAGAAAAGATACAAGGATAGACCTGCATCAGTGTTATATACCTAAGAACTCTGCAGCTTATCCATTTCTGGCAAACTTTTATTTTTAACAGGGGCAAATGCTGTCAAACGTATCTGAAAAACTTAAGAGAAAAGTCAGATGAAGGTGGATAACACTTTTTGCATGATGAAATCGGGAACAAAACCAGTGTTGATAAAATTCCCACTGGCTACTGAGAAGCAGAAAATCTCAAATCCGTGAAGAACAATTTCGTTGTTTCTTCCTCCATCGTGTCTTTCTATGCCTGAGAACTGTGGGATGAAATAAGAGACAATTAGCAATTGCAAGCCAAGAACATGCAACACTGACTTTCTAAATCTAAGAAAACAGGCAATCCTACGTACGCCTGTTGTACCATCAAGAGAAATCAACACATTTTCCCCTTGCGACGCAGACGTCTGGACGTGTCTTCCATCATGCACCCCTCACACCAACCTCCTCTCCCACTTGCCAAACACCAGAAACGCCTGCTTTGTTGCTGTTGTTTTCTTGAGAGACTCATTAAATAAGTCAGTCTTTCCACCTTACTAGCCTGTGCTCTATCCATCAGTCACTCCCAGACCCTCTGTTTCCAGGCCTGCAAAAAGGAAGAGGAGAAGGAC